GGAAATTCCATGAATTGACTACTGCTTCATAACAAAGAAGCGCAAACAGTTTAGTGAGTCATTTTGCTTTATTCCATCATATTCACAAGACAAAAAATAGTGAATTTTTGGCTCCATTGCAAATGATGAAAACCCCATGTACGGAATATATGAATAGAAATTGTCAAATTTCCGGTTATTGCCCTATGTCAAAGTTCATACAATGTCATAGTTCAAAATATGATCTTGAAGACTCATACTTGTGACAAAATACTTTACTCATATTTATAGAAAAACTACTTAGAGATAAATATGATACTACAATTTTGAGAAGATATAATTAGTGACTATATGCATACTCCCGAACGGGGTTTGGTACTATGTGGGACCGGACCAGGTTCGTGAGTTTAGTCTTGACTCAAGACTGGGTATCCAACCGGGTAACCGGCGGGCCCGATCCCGATCCCAACGGCTAGTTCATTTTTTTTATTAAAGGGGTTGTGGGCTTATAGCCGCCAGTAACAGACTAACAACTATAAAACGGCTATATAGCCTTTGGGGCGGTTGGGGGTGAGGTTAGGGGGTGGAGGCATTTCTTATTAATATTACTAAATTTTTTTAAAAAAATCAAAACCGCCCAAACCATTCATGGATTAGGACCGGGCCAACTGGCCAGTCCAGGATCGAAATCGGAACTGGACCGGGACCGGGTCCACCCCCTTTGTGTAACTAAAGAATGTGGATTTTTTTTGACAGAAACTAAAGAATGTGGATTGGTGCATTGAAAAGGAGAACTTGAAATTTTACACGAAGCATAGCCTATATGTACGAAGAGAGGATCCCACTTACTAATTGAGAGAGAATAGATCAGGACCCCACTCTTGTACCATTCCAATGAATTCTCATTCTTTCAAGACAAATCTGGCCCATTGCAATAAAAAACGTTCTTCACATTGATTCAAATCAATTGGTACTGCTAATTCCAAATTCAAAGCAATTTGACACAAGACACACATAAATTAGACGAAATTAATGGCATGTGTGTGCAGGACATGATTGGACATGTTTAATTAATCATTGGACCAGCTTAGTCTTGCCCTTTCGATTTCCAATCACATATCCAAAAACAGAAGAGATAATAATAAACCTGCAGGCTTCCAACAATGAGAGATCCGTCAAAGGGTGTTCAGTTACTATGAAATTGTACTCGAAGTTAAAACTTGTGTTATTAGAGATGTATATCAATTCAAAGCCCATTTGATAATAATACTCCATCCGTTTACAAAAATACTTTCCACTTTATTTTTTGAGTCGTTCCCAAAAATACTTCTCTCTTTCACTTTTTGGGCAATTTGTGTGACTCATATTTATTTTACTTTTTTCTTACACAATCACAATCATATATTTTCACTTTATTCCACTTTCTTAATAAGCATGTCAAGTCAAATCAGGAAGGATTTTTAGGAGCGGAGGTAATATTAAATAAGTTGAAACGGCTCAATCGACCCAATTTGGAGAAGCTCTAACTCGAGTGACTTATCTAGTTGAATCTCCTTAATTTAGAAAAGATTCTATTTAATATATTGAAAGAATTAGATGAAAATTAGCTAAAATAGCCGTCTTCAACAATTTCAACCAATTCAGCAAGAAAAGTAACTCCAGTCTTACTTATTTTGATTATTACTCAATTCAACTCTGAAAATCATATGATACTTGTTTGGTGAAAAAGTTACCCGTAGACCGTAGTTGATAAGATTAATGAGCAGAAGACATATGCGAAAAAGTTACCCGTACACCGTAGTTGATAAGATTAATGAGCAGAAGACATATGCTATCATACGCACTCTCAGAAACTTTGTGTTTGGTATTGATTCTCATGTATGTAAAGGAAAATCAAGCAAGAGTGTTCTTGTCATGACCTGTGATTGTTGAAGTGTTGTGATTCTTAAACACTAACAATAGAACTAGCCCCATCTAGCGCCTGGGCTAGATGTTTGCATGAGATTAAAAAAACCGGTTTAAAATGAGTGTTTTAATGTGACAATTTCTTCTTAAATTAAACACTTAAAAGTTTAAAGTTGAAAGCAGATTAAATGTGCTTTAAACTGCTTTTCACTTTTTCTATTACACAAAAATCACTTATTTGTAGAAGCAAACACTACCCACTTTTACTTTTTTCAAAAACATTTTTTTCTCAAACACTATTAACTTTTACTATTAAACACTTTCTCTAAAATCATTTCAAAAAATCACTTTTTAAAAGTAGAAGCAATCACAAACATTCTTAATTGTATCTATATGGTATGCCGATTCCACAAAACTGAAAGGTCAAGGAATTAGGAATGTAATGAAATTAGCTAGAATACCTTTAAGTGACAAATATTAGTGAGAAAAGGGGGAAGATGGGTAACTCTTCTACTATTTCCATTACATCACTTAAGTTTTTATCCTAAAGTACTTTCTCCATTCTTTTTTAATTGCAACAGTCAACATTTCACGTTTGTCAACGCAAACGTTTGAAAATTTAAAATGAGAAAAATTTACAATATTTTTAACAAAATTAATGTATCATACATTAATAAATAAAATATAGTCAAAGTGGAATACATGAATAGTGCAAAAAGTGCAACGTTGCAATTAAAAGAGAACGGAGGTAGTACTTCGTTTCAGATAAAGACGTTTACTTTAATAACACATTAAGACAGTAAATTAAGTCACTTTAACCCTCTATAACAGGTTATTTTAAAAAACATTAAATTAAACCTATTAATAAATTTATGAATATCATATAAATTTGAAAATTAAATGTAAAAATAATATAAAAATAGTATAAATTAAACAATAGATAAACAATTCAAAATTGTAAAATAAAGAATTTAAGACCTCAGAAAAATGAAAAAAAAAAAAGAAATTGAAAGTGTAAAAAGTATAAAATTAAAATTTACTACCTCCGTCCCGTTCAAAGGTTCCTATTACAAAATGTCACGATTATTTAGATAATTAAACATGGTAATTTAAGTATATTTTGAGAAACAATTTCGATAGTTATATAGTATAATGAGATCATTGATGATATATGTGATGTTATCGATGTATTATTTTTAATACTTGATGTTTTAATTGTCATTTAAGAGTATTAATTGTTTTCAAGAATGGGACGGAAGGAGTAATAACTTTTAAAAAGATGTATATTACACAAATAAGTCCAGAAGTGACAAAATATAGACTTTGACATTTTTAAGTTGTCCATAATTTTTGTTTATTTTTTTTAAGTTTTTAAAGTTTTTTAATTTAAAAACCTGCTATTACAGGTCCAAAACCTGTTAAAAGCCAAATTGATCAACTTTTTAAAGTAAGCGTACTTATATCAGTAGACTGTCATGTAAAGGGCATTTAAGTCTTGTATAACCTTGTCCTAAACTGTTTCACTACCCATAGTTTATTTTCTGTATTTATCAACACACACAACCCCTAAAAGAAAGCCAAAGGGGAATAGCTCTACACAAAATGAGCAAGATAATGATGGCTTTGGAAGGATGAAATCTCAATAGTGATGATGATGGTTATGAACATATGTTACTAAAACCAAACCCCAACCAGGTTAGATTTCAGTCTTCACTTTTATACCAGTCAAGTAACATTTAGCAACAACTATAATAAAAAAAGTTTTGACGTTTATATACATTATTATTATGTGCATACATAATTATTGTATAGCATAAGCTCAACCTAACTCTTTTCCATACTAATGTCCAGATTGTGTAGTTGAAGACAGGTGTCCAACTAATTGCATTCCCAAAGGAAAAGTTAGTGTCCCCTAGTGGGACTAACTACTTGGGACGCCCAACCAAAAGAAAATCTTAGTAGACAGACAGTTCATCATAAATGCTCTACTATGACTATTGTACTATGTTATTGATGATGGTCACATTTTGCTCTCCCATATAATAATTGTATGGTCACGTACTCACATTAAAGTTTGAGGTTTGTGTAGAAAGCTATGACCAATAAGAGAAGTTCCCAACATCTATCACCTATCGCATTCAAGTACTTTCAGCTCATCTCCACCTATCCTTTTGTACAATTCACTATTCAGATCAAGTATTTTACAGCTGTCTTGTTTTAATCAACCTAAGTGTGGTTTGGTAAACTTTTTCGCTTATCAAATTTATCATACTCCGTATAATAATAGATTCACAACTTCAATAAATTGAGAATGTTTAGCACATGCAGCCAATTTTAATTTTAATGTTACCAAACATTAAAATTTAACTGTAGGATAATCAGAAAATATTTTCTACATAAGAAAATATTCTCAAAACAAAGGGAGTCCCTAATATGTCAGTCCTCCCCTAGTCAAACTTATATGATCCACACTGCCGCTTGTAGTGTGACTAAAGCAGTGTTTGCGGTTGCTTAAAAAAAGTGTTTTTCAACTTTTGGTTTAAAAAAAGTTAAAAAGAGTGTTTTCAAATGACAGCTTCTGCTTAAATTAATCACTTAAAAGCTAAAAGTTGGAAGCAGGTGGAAGGGTGCTTTAAACTGTTTTTCACTTTTTCTATTACACAAAAAGTACTTATTTTACCAAACACTACCAACTTTTACTTTTTCAGAATCACTTTTTTCTCAAACACTACCAATTTTTACTATTAATCACTTTTCCCAAAATCACTTTAAAAAATCACTTTTTTAAAGTTGAAGCAATTGCAAACACTCCCTAAGACTCATGACTGATTGTTCAATTAGTTGGGGTGTATCTTAAAATCCTCAAAGACAATTTTCCACTATTAGAGACCCCAATTTCGAATCAACAATGCTTGATGTACTCAGTCCTATACCCACCTTATACCCACCTATGTTTGTGGAGGTTTTTTTTTGTCTGTGAATCTGATTCACAGACAATATTTTGTTTGTGCAAAATATTGTCTGTGAGCCAGGGTTCACAGACAAAAAAACACTTCACAAACATAGGTGGGTACAAAAATGGGTATAAGAGTGGGTACAAAGATCATTTTTTATTTGGAATAGTATGGATGCCAGTGGTCCTCATATATTCTTTACTTTAGTTTTCTTCTGTTCTTGACTTTCATCCCTTTGTTCCATCTTCTTCACTTATCTTCTGCATGAGTCACTGCCCAAATTCATTTACCACCAGAGGAATGGAAACAAGTAAATCAGATGGAAAAAGAAGCATAGATGAAACTGTGCTGGCAGAAGAAGATGATGAAGATGTTGAAGAAGAGAACAGAAAGAGGAGAGCATTGAGTCAGTCCGGAAGCAAGCTGTCCAGTGGAGTGGCGGCGCAGCTGTTCTGTCAGGTGGATGACTGCGGGGCGGACATGAAAAATGCAAAGCCGTACCACCGTCGCCATAAGGCCTGTGAGATTCATGCAAAGGCTCCATCAGTACTTATCAATGGAGTCCATCAGCGCTTCTGTCAGCAATGCAGCAGGTTAAGATACCCAATTTCTTGTATGATTCTGTATCATGTCTTTGATTACCATTCTAAACATACAATTCTGGCCATTTAGAGTTCCAAGTTGAGGTTATAGTTGTATCCAGAGGTATAAGAAAATAATCAATGAACAAAGTTTAAAATTATTAGTCGCTTACATAGGTTGTTTCAAGTCTATAGGGTAAGTTTAGGAGTTGAATTTTGCAAGGGAAGACAAGATAGGGGTTATTAGTCAGTTATTAATTAAGATAATTCTATAATATTGAGTTTTCTATAAATACTAGTTTATCAATTTACATCTTGGTAGATTCTATGGTATCCATAAGATACCATACCTTTGTCCACATGGACTAATGAGAATGTAGCAGTTTAGTTATTTAAATGTAAATTAAAAATGATAAAGTAATGTGGTCCAATCAAATGAGTGATAGGTACGGTACCCCATTTTTGAGAAAGGTACCAGAGTTGTCACCTTACATCTTTTATTTGAAAAATGTTATCTTAAAGAAAAAAATTAATGAAAATCAATGCATCCATCTCCTTACCCTCCAAACTCCTTCAAAACTCAGCTCTATTATATGGCCGTAATTCCACCGTTTCCCAAAATTTTCCAATCTCTTTCCCCCTAGGGTCCATTTGGAACTTGGAAAATAGAAGGTAATGAAAATAAGGATATCATGGAGGAAAAATGCAGAGTAAAATAAAAGATAGGATAAAACCAAATAAATCTATTTTACATTTTTATGTGCACTCTATATATTAAAACTGAAATCTAATTATCTAAAGGTATGTACAATTTTTAAGGAATTAATCATATTTTAGTTTCCCTTGGGGTTTCCAAGATAATACCGAAACACACAAAAAACTGTCCATGGCTTTTTGTTTCATATTCCTTAAGAGTTGTTTAACATTCAAACACAACCCTAATGTTGGAATATAAGGGCAGGTTTGACTTCTTCATGGTCTACACACATTCAGGTTTCATGAATTAGAGCAGTTTGACAATGCTAAGAGGAGTTGCAGGAGACGTTTGGCAGGTCATAATGAGCGCCGGCGTAGAGTTACATATGATTCTCATGGAGAAGGGTCAAGCTGAAGATGTATAGTACCAACTGGAGACAAACAACTGCCTAGTTTGTACTCATAAGAAGATTATAATAACATGTAGAGCACATAGATTAACAGTATAATTTCTTGAATGCTCTCAATCTTCTGTCAATTTCTTGAGTTACAGATTGTTTCCTTTATATCTGGTTTGCTAATTCAATCATCCCCTCATCCAATCTCCTAATAGGAATTTGAAGAAGAATATAAATATTTGGAAAAAGTTTACTCCTTCCCATCCCAAAGAAGGCATGTTTCAAATGCCTTTTGGTCCCAAATGAAGAATTTGTAGTGTAATTTGGCAAAAGGGGTCAGAAAATTTTTAAATAGGATCAGTTTAGCTCAACGAACAAAATATGTTAAAAAATTACATAGTACTACGGATGATATAAAAAGGATTAAATGACTTCTAAGAGTTGTAACTTGCTAAAACTGAATAGTTGACCTTCACCCATCCATATATGCTCGTTTCAGTTTAGCTCAACGAACAAAATATGTAAGAGTTGGAACGGGGAGGGCCCGAGGGGGGTATATTTTAGGCAAAATTCAATGGAAAAATCCATATTTTAAGACATTATACATTAATAATCTCTACTTAGAGTATTCACAAAAATATCCAAACTAGCAATGGTGTTCACAAAAACAAATTGGGGTGAATTTAAACTAATGTCTGTTTAAAACTCTCACTCCCACTTCCCCCTTTAGTACTCTTTTTCTTGGGGTGAATTCAAACTAATGTTCGTTTAATCTCAACATCATTTCTATAATATGTAGTTTTCTCTAGGTTGAAAGATAGAAATGTTACCCGACAGGATGAGTGGTGAAGTGGAAAGTGAGGGCAAAAGTTTAGAGTATTAAATGAACATTAGTTTGAATTCACCTCAATTTATTTTTGTGAACGCCATTGGTAGTTCAAATTATTTTTATGAATACTCTCAGTAAATATTATTATTGTAGACTCCCTAAAAGTAAGGATTATTCTTATAAATTTCGTCATACACCAACTCAAACTAAGGTTGTTCGGTAACGTTTCCTAATTTAAAAAAAAAATTGCTTATGTTTTATTTTATTCTATTTCCGGATTTATAAAATATAAAACATGCTTGGAAGGCATGTTTTGTATAAGATGATTTACGGATATATTAATCACAATCACAATATTGTTAATCTGTGATTTTTTACAGAAGTTTTAAATGAGTATGTTAAGATACGAGATTCCATCCTAAAAGGTCAACCTGATAGGAGGAGTAGCTCATGTGTTAATATAGCATTTTGTTCGTCTAAATTTTTTCAGTGTGGGACATTTAACAGTGTAAGAAAGTGTCAATAAAAATCACGTTTAAAAAAATAAAGAAAATTCATGTTTCCTAAATTTTTGAGAGTTGTGTTTTTTTATTTCAAAAACTAAACACACACACCAACTAAATGTGTTTTTGTACATGCTCTAGAATCTAGATATAGGGAAAACAAGAACAAATGAAATGAAAAACATTACCAAAAAGCAACGACATATTATTACTTTGCTCCAACGCAGGGCCGTCTAAAGCAATTATAAGGCCCTAGACGATCATATATATATTTTGTTCAAATGAAATATCAAATGAAACATAAGTGAATTATAGATGAAATGCATCATATAATATTAATTTAAAGGGAGTATTCTTCAAAACCAAAAGATCCAAAATTGATTAAAAAAAATGGATTATGTATAGTAGCGATCCATAGAGTTAGCAAGCGATTTATACTCATGTTCTTTCTTAATTTGTTCTTTCTCTTTGTACATCTCGAGTCATGCTTTCTTTTTCTCGTCACCAATTTCATACAACTTTATACAATTTCTAACTAGATAAAGTTTTTCTAACTTTTAATATTCAATAATACAAGTACAATTAATCAATTGTAGAAATATACAATAAATTAAATGACTAGATTGAATTATTATTATTATTTGGATTTTGGTTTATTATAATAGATTGATACACCCAATACTTAATAGCCTAGGCCCTACACCGCCTATTACCTACTGTCATAACCGATTAAGTAGTAAAAAATTAAAAATTGAAGGTAAACAAATTAAAAGATAAATCAATAAAATCAATAAAGAAGGATTTGAAGCTGTCAGAAACAAAGAAAGACAAGAAAGTTAGAAATTACAAAAGTCAAAGACCATTACGGCATTACGGAAACAGATGCATTGACTCTTCCGCAGGTTTTTACTTTATATAGGAGATATTTTATCACAATAAACAATTTAAATTAAACATACATATATAATATATATATGGGCTTACATAAAAAATTGGAAGCCCCAAGAATTTGGGGGCCCTAGACAATTGTCTAGGCTGCATGCCCCCATGACCGTTGGAGTCCAACGCATGTCGTCATCGACATTGCCCAGCACATAGATCTTAAGATGTGCCCAGTTTTATATTACTACGGGGTACTACGTAATACTTACCAGTTCATCATAGACTAACAAAGTAACGTGCACTACAAAAAATTAACCTCAAAGCAGCCATAGTATAGTCATAAGTAAAGATGAGAGCAAAAGTAATGTACCTTTGAAACACTCTGGCATCAGGGGCCACCCTAAAATAATTTAGGGCCTGTTTGGATACAGTCATACAGTTAAAAGGGCTAGGGCTGAAAAGTCTGAAAAGACTGAATCTGCTGAAATGAAAGTGTTTGGTAATATGTTGGCTGCAATGGCTGATTGAATGTAAAATTACCAGTAAGGATATTTCTTGGGTGATTGGATGCAACCATAATTGACACTATTCCTTTTTTTAACGACGTAATTAACACTATCTGGAAAGCTTAATTGGAATACTAATAATTCATGAAAATTGTATAGGTGTTACCCAATTTTTGGAAAGATGCTTTGTTTGCTTTTTACTCCGTATTTTGCATTCAAATATACTCCGTATAATTGTATATACACTTAGTTGGAGTGCGGCGATCAAAATGTGATCTTAGATTTTCTCTGCAGCAGGTGTACAGCGAGGGCAGAGGAGTACTTTTGATTTTAAACAGTCCATTAATACCTTTCAGTTGAAAAAGTAACTTCTTTTGTTACTTCTTTGGCTGACAAGGAAAATCAGCCCAAATGACAAGTGTTTGGCTCTTTTTTTTTTTACATTTTAAGGCTTATCAACCTATTTTCAAGGCTCCAAATGGCCTCTTAGTGTCCGTTTGGAGGGCTAGGAATTGGCTTATAAGCCTTAAAATCTATAAAAGTAACCAAACACTCATTCAATTGGCTGATCTGGCTGTTTTTTATGAGCAGCTCAAAAAGTAAGTATATAGCTACTTTTTCAGCTGAAATCTATTATTCTTATAGTAGTATTAAGCTATCAAAAGACACTTTTGTCCATGTTCTTTAACTAAAAAACTCGCCCCTAGAAGGCTGTAACACATGACTAAATCAATTTGTGGAAGCACTTCATACTGCATTACTGCATATACTTCGTGACTAGATTGAAGTCATTTCTTTTCAAAAAATAATATACTTCGTATTATAGTAACGACCCCCTTCAACATATTTTTAATTTAATTGGTAATTGAAACACTTAGACGGATTATTTAATGGTGTAAATAATATAAATATCCTTTATGGTAATTACACGCTCAATCAGCCACTTCAGCCAAAATAATACCAAACACTTTCACAGTTCACTTCAAAACTTTCAACCATTAAAGTCAAATCAGAAATTTCAGCTGTTGCAGCCAATACCAAACGGACCCTTCTATATCTTCCCTTCCAATCTAATATCTTGAACTTCTATTTGAATTCAACCTTGGACATCTGAAAGACTTGGTATACAACCTCAAAATATTGTATTCCAGAATAGAAAAAAAGAGTTTATGCAAGTAGGTGAACACCAGCAGTCCAGCACTTGGTACCAATTGTAAGCATAGTATAGTTTTCACATAATTCTTCAAACACAAAACTTAAGGAGTTAAGGGTACCTTACATGTACAAGGAGCAAGTTCTTAATCATTAATTAAAGAGAAAACTGTCAAATAGGTCCTCGAACTTTCATAAAAAGGTCAATTAAGTCCTTTTATAGGAGGTTCTGTCCGGCCGTCGCAATTTGGGACAGTTCCTGGTGGAATTTTTGATGAAATTTTTTGAGCATCTTATTCACCAAGTCTAGTTTACTCATACCAAATTTCAGCAAAAAATTCAATCGGGAACACATTCAAATTTATTCTTTAAGATAACTGCGCATTGTTGCGTTCTCGAATTAATTTGAATGCGCTTCCGATTAAATTTTTAGCTGAAATTTGATATGAGTAAACTAAACATGATGAATAAGATGCTCAAAAAATTTCATAAAAAAATTCCACCGGGAACCGCCCCAAATCGTGATGACCGGACAGAGTCTCCTATAGGACTTAATTGACTTTTTTATGAAAGTTCGAGGACCTATTTGACAGTTTTCCCTTAATTAAATAACCCTCAGGGCGTGTGTGTGCGACCATTGTTTATACCTCCGTCTGTATCAGAGTTTTAGGCCCTGTTTGGAAGCACCAATGGGCTTGTTCTGCTTATTCTACTTGTCAGAGAAAGCAGAGTTTATGAAACTTCGTATGATTGTATTAATTATTTGGCTAATTGTCTGCACCAAATGCTTTTAGTTCAGGAAAACCCAACCGATTCATTCATTCCAGTCAAATAATCCTTACCAAACAACATATAGATGCATGCACAGCATATACATAAATTTAAAAAACACAACAGTAAACCAAATTTTAAGGCATACACAAGGTTTTCCATTACCTTGTAATCAAATTTGTCTAACACTCTAACTTCTTTGAAATTGCATTAAATAGCTATTATACAAGAAGCCTTCCAGACTAAACATCCAACTATTCCTATAATTTCAGAAGACCAATTCACATTTTCATGTACTGCAAAAGCCTTCTGAGCCCTACCATCCACAGCAAAGAATACATGGTACACAAACACAATGCTGATGGTTTTTGACCTTCTGATGACAAATCAAATCAAACCACGCCTTCGGATGACAAAAGGCTAAAAAGAATCCTGCACGAACAAATAAAAAAAGCCTTTACAATGGCATTGATCAACTGCAGTTCTTTTGCCAGAAGATCCTTTGTAGTGATGCTAGTTAAGAAACATGAGAAATTTCATGTCAGATTAGTCTAACAATTGTGGCACAGTTGTCAATGTTGAATGTCATCATGCTGTAAGTCTACAACCTTAGTCGTATAAAAAGAAATACCTAAAAAGTGTTGGCAAACAATTTCTCATTAATCACGCCTCATCCCTAAAATCTTTGCAGATAGCTCCCATGTAACTATGGCAGCAGCATTAGCTGGGAAAGCCCTAACCAGAGTAGGACCTAGACCTGTATAGCATCCTCGAATACCGGATAGCCTGTAAATCTTGACACACAGAAATATTCATGGATTCTGCTTTTAAACCTTGTCCACAATAGCAATCTAAGAGACAAGAATAAGTACCGTTTGTAAAATCTGAAAAGGATTTCGTGTCTGGTTTTTATCGGGGGTAGTTTGGATTATAGTTTTTGCGACATCCAATGGCAGAACAGTACACCAGCACTGATGAGAAAGGAAATAAAATCAGATCAATCAGGTGGGATACTGAGTTTCCATAGATATTAATACTAAACTACAAAAAGAATACACACCGCTATACCACCAAGGCCACCACTTATTATTCCAACTCCCACATCAACCAATTGATTTGACTTAGATGAAGCCCCTTTCAATTGAAGATGCATCTGATAACGTACATACTCATATGTGCTAAAGAAGATAGCATTTCCCACAGATTCTCTTAACAAGGTAGCAAAGCCTCCTCTAAATATGCCAGTAATCTGAGGAATCAGAAGGTATTATGTCAGATTCAAACTAATCAGATGGCAAAACAGCTTTGTAAAAGTGTTTGGTTCCTCTTACAGTCTTACCCCCTCAGTTTTTACAGTTCCAATCGCACATTCAAGAGGACCACTGTATCTGGCTGAGTTTGGTAGAAGAGAATCTATGCCCTGAATTTGCATCCTACACTGGAGCAGATAATTTCAATACAATGGCACTGCTGTAATATTAGTATTCCACTGGTTAGGATCTTAATATAAGTGTGAGGTGTACCTCAACTATTACATGGCATAACTACCTAATTCGATAGTGGTTTATGGGATGCCTACGGAGTTGCTGGGCGTGCAGCCTGTTTGGACTTGGTTTAGACCCATTAATCCACCCTTTAAGTTGTCCAATCTGATTTGGCTCAAGGGATGTGTTGAGTATCCCACATGACAGTGGTTGTCTACTAGATTTTGGGGAAATATATACTACGAATGTCTGAGGTAAAACTCGTCTCTTAACAATCCTTTTGGGTGAGTTAAGCCAAAATTAACAAATTGGATGGAAGGAACTCATGCGAATAGCTTACCTTAAGCAGCTCTGAGGGGCACAGTATGAAGCTGATAATCCCTCCAGCAAATGCCGCTGATGGAACAATTACATGAGGCTTTGGCTTCCCATCACCAATTTCTCCCTTCAAATTTAAAAGGAAAAAGGTTTGACCAAAATCCCAAACTGCTGGATTCAAGAAAAGTAGGTGAACAGAAAGTCAGAAATAGCCGATAAGGTTGTCTGGATTATAACGTAGATCAACCTGAAGGAACCTTTTTGTCTGTGAATAAATGCCAAAAGCAAAGGAGCTTTCAAAAGCCATTCCAACAAAAGAAGATGTTGCTCCTCTGTATAGCCCTTTCACCTGTGAAAACGGTGAAACATGAAAGCAGAACTTCTTGGGAAAATAAATGATGTCAGATGCCAGATGTCGGTGTCTTAAAACTTTGAGAAAGGAAGATATGTTCCTCAGTTGGAGACTTGGAGGAAAAGATAATGATTATCAAATAGTCAACAAATATGTGTACTAAGCTACTAATGATAAAATCATACGAAGTGATTCTGTTCCTTTGTTCTTCTTTCCCCTTTTGTTCTTTTTATTTTTACCATAAGGTGTTTTATGCAGTGTCTACTTATCACGATCAATCATAATCGTAACGGAACAGTTATACATACTACTATATCATTAGCTTATTCAAAACTTATCTTGGTCCTCACAGGTTTCCACAAGATATTTAGGTGTTCCTCTTTAAAGCAATGTTTTCCTTTTATTTGTGAAGTTCTACTTTTGTTCAACAGATACTTGGCTTTTTCTTGCATTAGTTAAGAGCAGCATTGCTGAGGTTATCTGAGTTATGGACTTCTAGAGAACCCAAAAACTTATACTACATATTTATAGACTCAGTAAGGCTCAGGGACCCTCAGGCCCTTAACGCAAGTAACTTGTGATAAAAGTACACGAACCCATAATAGTAATTAAAGTGCTCAAAACGATCTCACACTACCAATAATGCCCTCATTAATGAACAACACAAGCCTACATAAACTCAAGGCCTTTAAATAATAAGGGTAATGCCGGGGGATATACCATGTGTTTCACTGTAATGGTATAAAGCACTCTATTGGTGATGATTATCACACCTTTTTGCAGATGGCTTTAGGTTGAGAATTATAATATCAAGCTATAAACTTAAAAACACAAGATTCAAGAAGTCCCACTACTGATGTCCATAAAATAATCCCCCGCGATTCCTCCAAGACTCCATCTTTCTACAGAAAAAAAACTAAATTTCTGCCATAATGCCCCCTTAATGGAAAATGCACAAAAGGAAATAAACATAGATAATCCGCAGACACCAAAAAAAACATAATAGGATCTGAAATGTAAAAACAAAGCTAGAACCATACTCCTTCGGCCTTCAATATCCTAGCAGCACAATGCAATCCATTCTTGTACTTTATACCATCGCTAGAAGTGTTATGTTTCTGGAGATTTACCTGATAAATATAAATTGCAATACTTTGAAGATTTTCCTGACAAAATGCAAATGACGACATTCCGAAACAAGGGTGAATTGGGTGGGAATACCTTGACTGTGTCAAATGGGTGACCGGTAAGCACAGTGGCAACTCCGGCTAACATTCCTGCTACGTAATCTTTGTACCCTGAGCTCTCCCCCGGCATATCTCTTCTCCGTCTATCTCTCTCCCTGAGAACTTGTGGTCGGATAATGGGGTGAGAATCACGGTTTCAGTATTACGTATCCTGCTGTGCAGTTTTACAGGGTTCTACTCCGGCGTGATTATTGGCTCAATGGACCAATCGTACGGCATCCAAACTGCTTGGGAGTTGGGACACACGGTGGCTCTTTTGGCAGCGCCGCTGCGGCTTGGGTCCAACCTAAGGCGTACTAATTGAGTTAATTAATTAAGGGCGTTGAGCTCGGTCTGTTCTACTGCGCTAGCTATTTCATTGCCATTTGTCCAGCTGTCGTTCCTAAACGTTACTCCATACTAACGGCCTGTTTGGATTGAGTGTTGAGGAGTGTTAGTAATGGAAGTGTTAGTAAGTGTTGAAGCTAACACTTGTTTGGGAGAAAAAACCAGATGTGTTAAGAAGTGTTAGTAATGGTTAGGAAGTGTTAATAATGACCTTCCCAACACCTCAATTGTCCATTTTTTTAACACCCCGATTTGGAGTGTTTTGAGGTGTTGAACAATTATTACCCTTCTCATTTGCCCAAAAAACATAAAATGTTTCGACATTTCACTTCGAATGTCTTTCCCACGGGTCTGATGGTTTGTTTTTTCATCTCTTCTCTTTACTCGTTTCTTTTGTCTCAAGGTAAAATTATTAACACTTCCATTATTAACACTTCATTCATTTGACTCTCCCAAACAAGGTAAAATTATGTCTAACACTTACACTTTACTTCCCTTCCGAGCCCTTACTAACACTTACCAACACTTCCATTACTAACACTTTCAAACACTCCATCCAAACAGGCCCTAAACTTGTATTGCACCCGTGCGATGCACGGGACATACTTTTTCTTCTTATTTTATCTATATATATTGAGTTTATGGAAAGATCATGAAAAGAGGAATATAGATAAAGAATTTTTTTGAAACAACATTAAATCAATGTTAAAGTTCATAAGTATAATTAGCAATGTTTTATTCCCAAAATATCATTCATTCCTATTTTAGAAAGTTTTATTCATATTATTCCGTTAATATGACCAAATAAATCAAAAAACAGAATTCAACATATTTAGTTTTATTTTTTTTAACTTTGTATATGTTTTGATTTTATATTTAGACACTGTTTGGCACTGTTTGACACTGTTTTTGACTGTTTTGTTTGCCAAAAAGGGGAATGTGCCTTTTATATTGGGACGGACCGAAAAGGAAAGTGTGCCTTTTATATTGGGACGGAGGGAGTAGTTTCTAACTTTTAGATTTTAAGTGATTAATTCAAATCGAAATTGTCACTTAAAAACACTCTTTTCACCCATTTTAAGCCAAAAATTGAAAATTTTTGGGAAATTATCCTAAATGGGACTAAAACGTTTGAAAATTCCAAAATAAGACTGTCATGTTTTTATTCCCAAAATAGGACTAATTACTGCCATGTTTTGGCAGTACCAGGCTTTAAAGAAGGCAGTATTTTCCAAATTTGGCAGTAATTACTCCTATTTTGGGATAAAAACATGGCAGTCTTATTTTGGAATTCTGAAACATTTTTAGTCCTATTTCGAGAATTTTCCCAAAATCATTTTTTAAATATTTTCGCAAACATACGGTACATAATGTGGATATTGTTTTCGCCAGTCCAAATTTTAATTTTTGAAACTGTCTAATGTATCTCTCGCTAATTGGTACTCCAACGAATATTAAGGAGTATTGTGTTGAATTATCAAAAGGCAGGACCATGCTTCTATTAAATTAATGAGATATTCCCAAAATAGGATTAAAAGAGTTCGAAAATTCCAAAATAGGACTGTCATGTTTTTATTCCCAAAATAGGACTAATTACTGCCATATTTTGGCAGTACCAGACTTCAAACATGGTAGTATTTTTGAAACTTGGCAGTAATTACTCCTATTTTGGGAATAAAAACATGTTAGTCTTATTTTGGAATTTTCAAACTCTTTTAATTCTATTTCGGGAACTTTCCCAAAATTAATACGGAGTATTCCCTATTAAAAGCCCGTTTGGTAGCACGAAAATCGGCTGATTTGGTTGTTTCTGCTGAAATTTCTGAAGTTTTTGGTTGAAGTGACTGTATTGGCTGATTCTGCTGATTTAAGAAAAAAAGTTAAAATATATATTATTAATAAAATAAAGAAAACAATTATACGTAAAAATAGCTAAAATGATTATTTGCAATAACTTCAGCCAATACAGCCAGAAAACTAACACCAAACTTACATTTTTGATGAAAAAGTTGATTGATAATTAGGGTTGATAAGCCGAAAAAAAGTATGGACAAACCACGCCTAAATTTTTAACACTACGCAGTACGGAGTATTTGCTTTATTAACCACCGAGTACTAAATGTGTTACAATACTTTTAAATTATTTTGACTCATTGAAATACTAAAAGGCTGGAATAGTGCAGTGATTTCGTGGGGAGATGGGCCAACATTGGAATTGAAACATGCATTGAAAATTGCTACTGTCAAAAAAATGAATAGTCAACATCAAATAATCCGTATAATTATGTGTTGTTCGGGTGACCCTTACGACCCATATACAAACAAATTGCAATAAATAAAAATAGGATTATGTTGTGTTTTATTTCTTGAATATGAGTAATCTGTCAAGTTTGAAAAATGTAAGGTTTAAAACTTAGTAATGTCAAATTTGGCAGCAATTTACTCTTATTTAAGGAATTATCTGTGTATTCAACCGTTTTATACTTATGTAATTCGATGTAAGAAGATACGCAAATTTATAGAATTAAATATCTTAATTAACCTGTGAGCATCCACATTCAGATTATTTTATATTAAAAAAAAAAGTTCAAATAAGACTTTCTACTACTCCGTATTATGCAATCGTCATATAAGACTATGTACTCAATAAAGTATCATATAAATAAGTCTACTTATAAAAAGCAATCGAATGAGTCAAAATGACCTTTTGACAACCTCATAGTCCTGATTTTGGCGTACATCTAACTACCTTTTTAAAATATATTCTATGATTGTTGTGAAATGTTTAGCTATGGTTGACTTAAATGGAATGTGAGCTAAAGTCGTGATTAGGAGGTTGTTAACGGATCAGTTGAACTCATCTGATTGCTTTTTATAAGTAGATGTATTTATATGACACTGTATTGAGTATACGGTCTTATGTGACGATTCATAATAGTAGAAGACCTTGTTTGACCCTTTTCTCTAAAAAAAACATTAACTTACATTTTATAATCTTTAATCATTCCATTTCTCATCTTCTACCGTCCCTTGATTTTATTCATTGTTTCCAAGCATGTAAATTTTATTGAGAATGTCGAGTTACATAATTATTATCAAAATAAATAAAACCTGAGTTACTTATTTGAGATTTTTACTGAAGTTACTGAATTATTTTAATTGTTTAAGTCATTTCAACTAATATTCCATCAATTTTAATGTGACCAAATAGATTTGAGATTTATAATCACACAATTTTGTATACACTTACTTACTACTCCATATTACCTATTAATAAAGGACCATAAGTTACATTAAGAATGCTCTGTAATTCACAACAACGATGTAGTCATATACTACGTAAAAGTGAGGCAAAATTTATACGGCGAAATTGGAGTATTTCATACTCCGTAAGTGAATACTGTTTTCATATGTTCTACATTTGCAAGAGAAAAAGAATGAAAATGGTGCAAATATACTCCGTATTATCGTACATTGTAGATTCAAGAATGAAAACGGTGCAAATATACTGTATGTGTCACTTTATATACGGAGTAGTACATACGGAGTATGAATTAAAACGTTTCATCTAGCCCCGTTTCCGGTCCATTAAAACAGGGAAAAATAATTAAAATACCCTAAACTTTGAAGGGGTGTGAGGTAAGCACCCCAAACTTTCATATGTAATTTAAATATCCTAAACTTTATATAAAAAGTTACTTTAGCACCATGGCCATGCATTATTACTTTCAAAAATGTTAATTTTTTGTGTTAATTTCATAATTTAAAATATTTTAGCATTCATGAAGATACAATTCACATTCTAAACTTCAATTGCAAAATAAATAATACTACCCCCACTCTATATAATTGGTGCATTTTTAATTTTTTATTCTAAATTATGCAATTAGCAATATGAATCTACATTTTTGAAAAAAATAATATACTCCCTCCGTCCCAAAATCGTTGGCCAATGTTGACTTGCACGTGGATTAATAAAGTAAAAACTGTGTGGTTAAAATTTGTGCAGAGGAGAGAAAATTAACTTTAGCCACATATTCCTTACTTTAAATGGAAATGGCCAACCTTTTTGGGACGGCCAAAAAAGGAAATTTGGCCAACCATTTTGGGACGGAGGGAGTACAACCATGGTGCTAAAATAACTTTTTATATAAAGTTTAGGGTATTTAAATTACATACAAAAGTTTGGGGTATTTATCTCACACCCCTTCAAAGTTTAGGGTATTTTAATTATTTTTCCCATTAAAACATATACAGACTCCATTTTTCCTGCTCTCTTGGTCGAAATCATACCCTGATACCCCCAAGGCCCCAACCATCCACTTTCACTTTGGTCCTTCGATTTGTCCAAGTCAATCCTAAATCCCAGCCAAAATAGTCTGCATTTAAATCCTCCTTACTGGGGAGCAATGATATATACACCCACACACAAATTAATACACACACATATAATATACTTGTATATCACACAACCATATTCGGATCTACTCATGTATATAGATTGCCCATGTAGTTGTTAAGCAAAGCAACAACTCACTGGACATTCCAGAGTATGAGGAAATGTATTTACTCCGAAAAATAGTTACAGATTTACAGTTAGGGCTAGTCCAAAAATAATTTCACCATGCCTCTCTTCTTCCTGGTGAAGTCTGCAAGCCTCAATGACTCCATCCGTCCGCCACTCACCATGTCTCCGGTCTCCCATCCCTTCCTGTCCAGTGTCCACCATCAACTGCGTGGCATCAGCCGCCTGCGTCATCCCAGCAGCCCGCTAACTCGCCAAGGCAGCCCAACTGAACTATTGATCGCATCATGCAGTCCAAGACGACCACCGCCTAATGTAGCTTCCTTTGTCACTCGGCGAACTCAATCTTATCTCACACTCTCAAGACCCATGAGAGAGGAGTTTAGGGGAGGTTATAAAGATGCGATTAAATCAAGACTTTCCTCTCGTTTCTTCCCTTTTCAAATGACATGACCATAAAACATTTAGGGCTCGTTTGGTAGTTTGCACGTTAAATCTTTGCATGCGAAGTGATCACATGCAAAGTATAGGGAAACAATCATTTTGCATGTAAAATAGATTACATTGTTTGGCTAGATGTGTTATTTATTTTTAAATTACATGCAAAGTCGTTGCAGTGCTTCATAAAAGGCATGCAAAGTATTTTACCACCTTCCCCCCACGTAAAATACTTTACATGGTACAGTGCGAAATGTTTTAAAAAAGTGACCTACAGTTTACATTAAATAATCAAACCAAACAGTGTAAACATTTTACGTCCTTACATTTCGCATGCAAAGTAATTACTTTACATGCTACCAAACGCCCCCTTAGAGTTCCAATGCACTGCACTACTGGTACCCTAGCCTGATTACTTTGACAGTTTGACCTGGTCACTCTGCTTTTATGCCCTTTTCATCCCTTGTCTTCTACTCCGTAATAAGAATGAGAAAGCAATAAAGCATCGACCTGTTTCTACTCCAGCGGTATACATTACTTTATTATCCTTGATGGTGACATTTTTTAGCGGGAGAAATGGTCTGAATTCCACCTCTTTTTATATAGAGATAGATTGATTATTTTAAATTTTTAAGTATCTCGGAAAAATGTGACTAACAAGCTTATACTATCCTATATTGAAAAACTTGATATCAATTCAAAAAATTATGTCATTGGGGTTTTTCATGTCACTAATAGGCCCTATTTGATAAATGACTTATTAGTTAATTTTTGGCTTTTTGAATCATATTTAGAGCCCGTTTGGAGACCTATTTTTTCGGCTTATCAGGCTTATCAGCCAGCTTTTTCACCAAACACGTAACTTTTACTTTTGTGTGCTGAATTGTGTAATAAGCAGAAAAAGTAAGGTTGGAGTTACTTTTCTGGCTGTATTGGCTGAAGTTACTGTAGAGGACTATTTTAGCTATTTTTACATGTAATTTTTTCTATAATTTATTAATAAAATATATTTTTAAAATATTTTTTTCTTGAATCAGCAGAATCAGCCAAAACAGCCACTTCAGCCAGAATTTCATAAATTTCAGCAGAATCAGCCAAAACAGCCGATTTTCGTGCTACCAAACGGGCTCTTAATGATTTTGACTATGTAAAGAGTCAAAATTAATGTATGGTAAGTGGATGGTTGGCTTGGCTTATTGAATCCAAAAAGGTTGGGCTCTGGAGCGCTTAGGATCGGCGTTTTCTTTTTCATCTTGGAAAAATTGAAAATAATAATCCCAACTATTGACGGTCCGCTGATAATAATCCCAACTATTGATTATTTTTGTATAATCCCAACTATATGGACAGTCCGCCAATAATGGTCCATGACCAAATATTACACCCTCAAAAAGTGAATTTTAAATAGAAATCAAGTTTAAAAATTAAAAGTTGGGATTACTTATAGGGATTACTTGTTATATCTCTCCTCATCCACTTTAGAAACTACAAGAATTTATTTAAAGGGACCATTATTGGCGGAAGGTCCCTAAAGTTGGGATTATTCTGAAATAATCGATAGTTGGGATTATTATAAGCGGACCGACCATAGTTGGGATTATTACTATCAATTTTTCCTTTCAACTTTGTGTCCTTCCAATTTAACGCACACAGCCTCCAATTATTATCGTGCCTCTCGTTTAGAATTCCTCGACCAGCATATGCAAATCTTCCTTAGAAATCTGTATTCTTTCACTATCTACAATTATTGAGGTATGAATTTGCATGTGTTCGCTTAATTTCTACTCTGTAGTTTTTTTAATGTTAGTTTCTATATCAGCAGCTCAAAAGATATTCTTCTTCTGCCCCATCCCTTGATTTACGTGATAGGATACCCTTCATTTTTGCCTCTATGAATAAAAGTGAACTTGCTAATTATAAAACAAAACTTGCTATTAGTAATATAATGTTGATTTACGTGCATTGCACATTTACTTGCAATGTAGTCAAAGAGCGGCGCATCTTTAACTTTCACATTTGTAATGATGCATGTAACTTTTCTCAGTATTTTAGAGTAGGATACAGTTAATGATTTTTTTTTACTCCAGGGGGTCTGGGGGAGGGGTCTGGGGGGCCTGGAGTAATCGAGGCTGAAACTCAATGAAGTGAGTTTCAACCCTTATATGCCTAGTGTGATTCAAACTTGAGACCTCCCACTAAACACGATAACCTCACAACCAACTAGGACACAGTTAGTTAATGATATACATTAATAAGATCATAGGAATTCCATGCATAGCGTTCAATCATTGAAATGATATTTCCTACATGGTTTGCGGTCTACTCAAGGGACCAATATCATTATATTTCACCCTGAAATGGATAAGATTTTGTAATGACATACTTTTTTTGCGGTTGCATTCGTAACTACTTGGTGTATTTAATAAAAGTTTTAGTTCAACTTTTACTATGCAGTTATTGTACATATTCGTAAGCATATTTGGCTCGTAACAAATAAATTTTTAGACATGCTATTATATTAATTGTTTACCATTTTTATTCCAATGTAAGTACGTGGACAAATTGGAATAACGATATTTATTTACTGAAAATTATTTTTGTACAAAGATGTGTTAACTTCTTGATTATATAGTTGATTCCATTTTATTTGAAAGAACACTGTGACCAGTCTGCCAAAAGGCGCCGCAAAGACGGGCCTAAGCGTGATGTGTCAATGAAATGCTTTGCATTCTCCATAGGTGTGACCAAAAGCGAAAATAATAGGTGGTTGAACTGTTACGTTTAAAATTTTAGGGTTTTATGAAATTTTAATTTTACATTTTTAATTATAAAATCAAATTAAAATTGATTAGGGACATTTGTGTACAAGTAGGTGGTTTTAAGTCCTATGAAACATGAATGTGATTTTTTGTCTTGTACAAATGAGGATAGTCATCAATCTTATTTCCCAACTAGGGGTACTTTTAAACTTATTTCCCAAAATAGGGTGTTTTCTTCCATGTCATCCATTTTCACCACATCACCTGCTCCACCTCATTCATCACCCTCATCACCCGTCCACGTCATCTGCAGTTTGCCCATTCTTTTTAAAACATAAAAAATTGCCACCGGGAGGAGTTGAACCAACGATCAAATTGACACAGTTGAAGCACAGAAACCACTAGACTACCTTGGACAGTTGTTGTAACATTCCTTTAAAAGCATTTAACATCTACACATGTTTAAGTGCATGATTGCACTAATTTCAATATTGCACAAGTTGTTTCTTTAGAAATATACTCGGTATATTACTACTCCTTCCTCAAACAAATTGAGAAAATGATAAAATACTTAATTGGGGATATGCAATAAAAAACTAAAAACTCAATTCAAAATTATAATACAAACGCAATTTAGTATATGCAATTAAAAAATACTAACTCCGTCTCAAAAAATTTGAACCTTGATTTTGATTAGTATAACATTATTGAAGTTATAAATTTTATATTTTTTTGAAAGTAATTTTAACAAAGAACATTTTCATATAACTTTAATATTATAAATAATTTTCAATAAAAAAATGTAACCAGTCAATGTTTTGAAAATGATTTTTTTTTGGGAACGGAGGAAGTAATTTATAGTAACTCAACATTTTATAGAATATTAAAAAAATAAGTGCGAGTGGCTGGACAACGCTAGTCATTTTTTACACAGTCTCCTTGACAAATATTTAACATATACAACTATATATTTAAGCGCACGACAATATCAACTTAATTCATATATTAATCGTTCCTTCTCATATATATATATATATATATATATATATATATATTACTCATTATACAAACAATTAAAGAATATGATAACATTGAATTAAAATAAGAACATGATAAATACTTAATCTGAGATATACAATTATAAAATAAACACTACAAGAAAATTGACTTTTAGCGACAAAAAATTTGCGGCCGTTGACGTGCACTTTGTCGTGAGTGCACTCAAAGTAAATTCAACACTAGCACTAATACGTAGTATAGTGAAGTAGAGTTCGTATCCACAGGGAAAGGAATAATTTATCTTTTTATATAAATAGTAAGTAAAGGGGGGTTTTGATTGTTGACTGATTTAAATAAATTAAACACGAAGATGAACGAGTTATATGGGATTAAATTCAAGAATAAAAGGGACTTGGTATTGCTACTTTACACTTGTTGATATATTTTAGTCGATCATTGTTATATCTATAACTTATTTCCTCTCGAATACTCAATCGAGGAGTATATCCAATTCATCGAGGATAGTTATTAACAACGACCGTTCATTAATAACCCTTACTATTAGTCAAGTATAGAACAACGCCATATACCGACTTGATAGTAGCATTTAATCTTTTAATTCCTTGATGAAATCAATTGAGATTGATAACCTCAACACAACGGTCTCGGTTTAACCAACAAAATTAATCCCTCTTAAGTTTATTAACCACGACCGTGCATTAATAAACCGAAGTTACTTACTTGTGAAACTATCAACGATTAACCATTGGTTCGTTGATCGAATCTAGTAGTAATTAATATATGAAACAAAACTAGTTGATCCTTTAAGTAATGTTCAGAATATTAATATGAAATATGAATAGGAATTAATTAATACTCAAGGAAGAATATTAAAGAAGATGAATCCTACTATAGTTAATATCAAGATGTTAACTAATTGTCATCTTAGTAACACTCCCCAATATTAACATAGAGGAAGAAATGACTATTACTATAACTAATGTCAAGATGTTAACTAATTGTCATCTTAGCAACACTCCCCAACATTGATATAGAAATAGTATTTGAAGAAAGAATTAATATTCAAGGAAAGAAGTTAAGAAAATAACTCACAACTTTAATAATCAACAAGCTTCAAGAGCAATACCAAGAAATGGAAGTTTAGCTCCTCATTTGGAGATTAAACATGCTAAAAGAAATATAAAGAAATGATGTTCTAAACTGAGCTTAAGAGTGTATATGAATTGGTGTCCTTAAAGTGAAGGAAAGGAGGTGTATTTATAGGCTTTTTGAAGTGCAGGCCGAGTACTCGATCGAGTATGTACATATACTCGATCGAGTATGTGTAGAAACCTGAATTTGGTCAATACTCGATCAATACTCGAGTAGATTTTATATGTATACCCGATCGAGTATGTCGGTGTACTCGATCGGGTATGACAATAGAACGTGGCCAAATCTTTCCTTGCATGTTCATTTGTTCCCGGATCGGATCCTTGAAAATCAGTATTGGTACTCGATCGAGTATAAGGTATACTCGACCGAGTATACCCCAAAATCAGGAGTTTTTCCTTCTTTTTGTCTTCCACTCTTGCACCTTCCTTCACCTTTGATCATTTGATTGATCTTGGACCTGTTTAAGCTCAGAATAAACCTAATCTAAACAAATTACAAGAATTTAACAAACTAAACTATTACACCG